ATCTGACCATGTTGAATCAGACCTTGTGGAGTTTGACCTTGTTGAATCTGACTATGTTGAATCTGACCATGTTGAATCTGACCATGTTGAATCAGACCTTGTGGAGTTTGACCTTGTTGGATCTGACCATGTTGGATCTGACTTTGTGGAGTTTGACCATGTTGAATCTGACTTTGAGGAGTTTGACCATGCTGAATCTGACCATGTTGAATCTGACTTTGTGGAGTTTTGACCTTGTTGGATCTGACTATGTTGAATCTGACTTTGTGGAGTTTGACCTTGTTGAATCTGACTTTGTGGAGTTTGATCTTGTTGAACTTGACTTTGTAGAGTTTAACCTTGTGTAGTTTGATTTGTGCAGTTTGATTTGTGCAGTTTGACTTGTGTAGTTTGATTTGTGCAGTTTGACTTGTGTAGTTTGATTTGTGCAGTTTGACTTGTGTAGTTTGATTTGTGCAGTTTGACTTGTGTAGTTTGATTTGTGCAGTTTGACTTGTGTAGTTTGATTTGTGCAGTTTGACTTGTGTAGTTTGATTTGTGCAGTTTGACTTGTGTAGTTTGATTTGTGCAGTTTGACTTGTGTAGTTTGATTTGTGCAGTTTGACTTGTGTAGTTTGATTTGTGCAGTTTGACTTGTGAAGTTTAAAATTTTGAGTTACCAGAGTCTGACCATGTTGGTTTATGCTTATTTTAATGAATTTGATATTGGAAAATTTAGCTTTCCTGGAGTATGAGGGCTGACAGTAAGGAGTTAAACATTGAATAGTCTGATTATGTGAAATCTTGAATTTGAGATTGTTAAGTTTGATCTTATGTATGTTGACCTTGTACAATGTCTTATACAGCAAAGCTTTTTATTTGTTTTTATTTTCTAAAATAAATTGTTATTGTTAAGAACCAGTAACTTTTTGTTACAGAGGTGAGGCTGGTCTCCCCATACAAACCGTCACCCTTCAAGGAGAAGCGAGTCACACTACGATCGGCAAAATCACCGAGATCCTCACGCAAGCTGTCACTATCAAATAGAAGCTTAAATGAAGGTATTATTTCTATAGCCATGATCAACATCAAGTTCTGATTTGTCATTTTGCTAAAATAAGCTGTGTCATATATTTCTTGATGAAGAAAAAATAACTAGTTCTGTTTATGGAACCAGGGCTACAGAGTAAATTTATTTTGTACTCAAAGTTAGTTATGCAGCTTATTTTTTTGCATCCTCTATGTATCTGCTGAAGCATTTTACAAGTCTCCAGCCTAAATCTTTGACAATTTGTTTTTCAGAAAAATGTTAACCAATTCCCTTAACCAGATTGATTTTGTCAATATATATTATATATATATACATATGGTACCTGTATTGTTTCAAAATGATTTTCATTTCATAGTATGTAATATGATTCTATGTGCGACAGATTCGGAGAACTACAAATCAGCAAATTACTTTTTAAATTTAGTTCTGTTGCAGAAATATGTGCAGAAACTCATTAAACCCAAACTTTGTAATTTAGAAAATTCTCAGACATTAACGACTTTACATCGACACTTTTTGTGTGAAATCAAAGTGCCTTTATTCTGAAGGGATTTCACAGAAGCTTGCTGGTAAAGGCTTTTCATTTCATGTTATTGAAGATAATTGTTTTTTTAACAGTAATAACACCTGTTTCTGAGAGCCAAGTTTCTGATTGTAGATCTTGGTCCTTGATATGCTTAAACAGGTTCAGCAGTGTGATTGGAATTTAAAAATAGACTTTTTAAACGATGATTAATATCAAAACAATGTTAAAAAACAATTAAATTATTATATTGCGAGTGAATACATCTTTATCTATATCATGTAACATTTAAAAGTGTAGAATTGCGTAAGTTTGTTTTCCACGTTTTATCATCGCTACATCTAAAGCATTCCTCCTGTGAATTCTCCCCATCGTGTATCGCTATTCCATACATCTCGAAGATCTTTCCATGCTAATGTTTATAACATTAAATAATTAAAGGGAGTCTGTGCTTACCATATGTCCTCAACAGTTTTTTTTAATTCCTTTCAAACTTAATTGAATTTTAATTATTTATGATTTTGTCTGGGTTGAAAAGATGCTTATTTGCCGTTTGAGGTCACCACAGAACTTCCATATTATGTAATAGTCGTTGTGTGTATATACAGATCAATCAGGGATCGGAACATCGATGGACGGTTTATACGGTTGCCATGACGTGACTCGTAGAAATGTACTCCCATCATTATAATACTCCAATGTATCTAGGAATATTTCAATGGGATTCCAAATGGGAAATTTGTACATTTTGTTTTTGCATCATAAAAGTTGGACTGGGAATATAGATTATAAAACGTCTCGGCACAGTCTGTCAAAGTCTGCATGATTAGCCTTACCAGTTAACAATAAAAGACAAATTGTGCTTTTTGAGAAATGTCTGAAAATCAACATAGTTTTTTTCAATTTTTATATTTGCATGGTCATTTTGAATCGCTAACATTTAGTTGTAAATATATGTGATGAAACATTTTCAATTGATTGTCTTTGAGCAGTCCAGGCTTTGAACGTTTGGATCATTGAGATTTACTGCTGTAGTAATTGTTAACAGATGATTTTTACCTTAAAGATATGAACTTCACACTAATTTACATGACAAGCTCACAATGATAGGAAAGTCAGTATGTAAAGATATCAGAAGGGCTAGTTACAGGAGTCAAAAGACCTTTCTTAAAAATCATGTTGTAAAAGCTCAATTTTGGTTGCTTCAAATTTCATCCAAAAATTTCTTTACCAAAAAATGTTATCTTTATGAAATTAGGATCATTATAAGTAGAACATGTTTTAATAAGGCTATTTTTCATTAGCTTTTTTTTTTGATGATCATTCATAGCACAATTATTCCTAGGAACGTTGGCATGGGTTTGAATTCATCTGATATCGATGTTTGATATTCAAATCATTTTCTGACAGAATACCAGGAGTCCCGGTCAGGGCGGAGCTCCCCTCTGTCATCTCCACACTCCTCCCCCCGCATGTCGCGCAAGTCCAGTGGCCGCGTTGTCTCTGCTGTAAGTATTTATCAGCTGAACTATAGGTTTTGCTATTTAAGGTCAAAGGTCAAAGTTGAAGGTCATTGATTGATGGTGATATGCTGAAAATAACAGGTCAACACTGAAGGTCACAGACTAATGCTAAACAGCATAGGCTTATGCCAATATTGAAGGCCATAGGTCAAAGCTGATGGTCACAGGCTAATGCAGAGAGTCAAAGGCCAATGCTGAATGTGTTGGTTCATTGGTGAAGGACAAAAACCAAAACTGAATATCAAAAGTCAAAGCTGAAGGTCACACACTAATGTGGAAAGGCTCATTTTTATGCTGAAGCTGTTAGGACACCGTTGAATGTCATGCATCAATAAGGAATGTCAGAGAACAACAGAAAAGATCAGGATTTTATAGTCCATGTTAAAGGTTATAGGTGAATACTGAAGGCAACAAGCCAATGTCAAAGGTCACAGCTATTGCTGAAGGTCATAGATCAATAGTAGACTCATAGGCAATTTCTTAAAAAGAGAATGGTTAAGGTTAGCTAATGAGCGTCATTCTTTGATGCATCTCTAATGTAAGAACATATCTTTTCAGGAACATTTAAATAATTTTCTGATCAAAAGTAAATCAGAAGAATAGATTTAATGTGAAAGCTAGCTGGTCCAGTTATCTTATCTTTATTTATTTTTTATTTCATAGCCAAAGTACAGACTTCAGGAAGGGCTGGATGGGGGTAAGTACAGAGTATGACTTAGTGACAGAGCATTTTAAAAAGTTGTAATATATTTAGTGGTGAGGGTTAGTCCAAGATCAAGATGTAAAGTGGAGGAGAATTAGGATATATTAGTAGAGGAAGAATGATGCAGGGGTTGATGGTATGAGGGAAGGGAGGGTGAGGGAATGGTGAGGAAGGGAGTATGTGAGGGAAGAAAGGATATGGGATGATGTGTGTGAAGGAAAGGAAGAATTAGGATGAAGGAAGGGAGGTCAAGGGAGGGTGTGGGTGAGGGGAATGGAGGTCAAGGGAGGGTGTGGGTGAGGGGAAGGGAGGTCAAGGGAGGGTGTGGGTGAGGGGAAGGGAGAATTAGTGTGAAGGAAGGGAGGTCAATGGAGTGTGTGGGTGAGGGGAAGGGAGAATTAGAGTGAAGGAAGGGAGGTCAATGGAGGGTGTGGGTGAGGGGAAGGGAGAATTAGGGTGAAGGAAGGGAGGTCAATGGAGGGTGTGGGTAAGGGGAAGGGAGAATTAGGGTGAAGGAAGGGAGGTCAAGAGAGGGTGTGGATGAGGGGAAAGGAGGCTGCTGGGAGGCAGAGGTGGCTGGAAATAAGGGTAGGAAAGTGTGTTTGGGCAACCATATTGAATAGCTACATGTAAGTCAAAGTAGGATATTGGATAGGGAGGGGTTAGGAGTCGGAATCGTTAGGTCTGTATTGCAGTCTGTATACATAATGTATATTTGCTCAAGTGTTAGAATACTTAGATGTATAAGATATTATTTTCCTGCAAGCGATTATGAATTATAGAAAAGTAAGAGAGTTCTGTAGGTATGGCTCAATATCCATTACAGGTGGCAGACAGACTTCTGTAAATTAGAGATCCCCAGTCAAGATGATCACACCTCAATCTAATCTACCTGTGTGCTTTACAATGTGTCCATTAACTGCTGAGTACAAGGTTAATGTTGGTTATTATGTAATGGTGGTGATAAGACAGTCCATAGAAGTATAAACCAGTCAGTGCTCACCAGAACACTAAGTGCTATACTGCCTGGGTGGCACATTCTGTCTCAAAGAATCAAGTCACGGTTAAATAATCAAGTTCCTTTTATAGTGAAACCTGTCTTATCTGACCCCTGAGTATTGTGACAACCTGTCTCATCCAACATAATGTTGCAATCCCATTTCAAATGAAAACTTCCAAATATGCACTGTGTATTCCAACGTCCTTCCTGATCTGACCAAAATGTTTCTCATAGTGTTAGGTAGAGAGGTTTCACTGATGTCAAACCTTCTTCGTTTAATTAAGAACTTAGTTTGCTCAAATAAAGTCTATATTTAAAAGTCAATTTTTGATTCTGTTAAATGATTTTTTCCATAATTTATATTGTATTCTGTCTAAATGGACACTCTTTGGGATCCAAAAATTTGCTGGGATAAGACAAGGTGTTGGAATACACAGGTTTTGTTTGGTTGAATTTTCATTAGAAATTGGATTACAGCTGTGTGTTAGATATGTCAGGATGTCAGAATACTCAGGTGCCACATGATACAGGTTTTACTGTATATCAAACAGTAAAGGACATTGCTCCATAATATTGCTTTTTCATGGTGCCATTATCTTTTACATAACAATACTTATTTATAAATGATTAAGGAAAGTCAATGTCATAAAACTGTTTAATTAAGTTTACTAGAGTAAGTAAATATATTTTATTTCGTTTAAAAGGCTAAAACTTATTGTGAGGTTCAGATGTTCTGTTTAAAACTTATTTGATCCCTGTTCTCTGATTCTCATAACCTCCCCACCATTTTTTGAATTTATTTATTTTGTTAATGTATGCAGCCATTGTTTTTATAAAAAACCCACCACAAGTATATTTTTTTGGTATGATTTAAGTGGTAAGTCACTTTGAAGTACATCTAATAAGTCACACTGGGAAACAACTTGATCAGTATCGTCGGTGTTAATGACTTTTATAGAGAAAAAGTTCTATTTGGTGACTCCGGTATGTATTACAGGCGTTTAAATCTCAGGCGGATAATTGATACTTAACCATATCTCCCGATTTCAAAACCTTGTTTTTCTAATTTCTTCATTTATTTTGTAATTTCAAAGATGTTTTCATTACCTTTAAACCAGAACTTTCCATCTATTAAGTTTCTCCTTTTTGATATCACTCCTCTACCACAAATGGATATGATGACAGTTCATCTTGACTAATAGAGGGCCAATGTGCCTCCATCAGTGAGTTCACGTAATTATGACTGCCAAGGTCTCGGAAGATTTCACAAAGGATTGTGTATTTTAATGGACTTTCTGCCTAATGAGATTTAGATGATAGTTCTATGGGTTCTGAATGTAAATGATGTGTGATGCTCCCCATGGGGCATTCCAAAGAATGGCTCAAACATTCTTCTACATTTATTACCACGATCTGTCTAAAGCATACCCTATATAAACTGGAAACCTGCATAAACCAGACCTATTATATAAATGTGCAATGCAAAAACCTGTGAACATGGAAATTTGGTACAATTGATGTTTTTGATTCTACGTGGACAGATCTATAAAAAAAGATTTCATGTTAGATTGGAGGAAAGATGGTGGATGGGTAGGTGGGGATGGGGTTGTGGGTTGTGGATGGGTATGTGGGGATGGGGTTGGGGGTTGGGTAGGTGGGGATGAGGTTGGGGGTT